GATGAGAAAAAGTGTGAAAAAAAGGAGAGAGTCTTTGACAAGATTCTCTGCAGTTTTCTTTGCATTTCAAAAATGAGGTGGTGGGCAGGGGGAAAGGAAAAGGCATGTGTTGTCAAAGAGAAGACAAAACTAAGGAAAAAGAAAAGAATTGGAGGACAAAGGACAGCTAAAAACTGGGAAAGAAGACAACAGAGCAGGCTGAAGATTGTTTAGTAAATAAAATACAAATGAAGATTGTTAATGTGAAAACGAGAATATGTCAGAGGGCAGAAGAGATAGGGGGCTGTTAGTGAGCTAATATGCACATAAACATTTCCTGATGCACAGAGAGAGAATTGAGCGTTGAAGACACATAGTTCAAGTTAGGGAGAAAAAGAGGAAAGTACCTGCACTTTTTTAGTTTAGGAATAGGTGAAACCTGTTATAAACCAGTTGGTTTTATGCATTTTCATGCCTACTCTCGTGCCTTTGTGAAAAGCATGACAAATGAGTGCTCTTTGGCTTACAGTATGCATCATTAAGAGTGCCAGATGCAAATTTTGTAGTGAGAATATGAAGAAACTGCTGCAGCAACAGAGGAAAATTATCTGAGCCCCGTTTCTTCATGTCTTTTCTTATTTATGCAGGTTAGTTGAAACCAACTGCATATGTTTTATCTCCTTTTTGGGTCAAGAATCAGCAGGGAAGAAAAGCCAGGGATCACTGCTTCACTTTGTCCTCTGGGAAAATGTTTTTATCAAGCATCCAGATAATGAAGTTACTTTTATTAACCAAAGTCTTGAAGTCTTTAGCGATGTGAGAGTTTATAAATTGGAAGTAATGCTCATGCTGCATTCATCCAGTTCCAAGGTTAATCCACTTGTCTGTATTTTATATTCTTTTTTAAATAAGCAGAATATTTTGCACGAATTACTTGTGTTTAAAAGCATATAAAAGTAGTAGTAGACAATGCAATAAAATAAGACTCTCTGTAATCAAAGTATGTTCCATTTCACAGCTTTTAAGTATCTAACAGATGAGTTATTATTCCACTTGTAAAAAATACTTCAATTGGCTCTGTTATCCTTTGACTAGTGTTTTTATAACTGTTCAAAACTAGTTTTAACTTACTTTGAATTGCCTTAGATTTCTGATAGGCCATAAAGTTTCTTAAGATACGGAAGAAATGTGACTCTTTTTGGAGGAGTGTATCATTGAATCAAAACTTGACATCCACCTGGGCTAAGAAAACTGTCCGTTTGTTCCCTGGGGAAATGCTTTGAGAATGTAACTGGTTTTTATGTAGAGTACCCTCCTGAGTTAATGTTTTTAGTTCAGCATGCCCCGAGGCAAAACGTTTTAGGATATTTTAGAAGATCCTGCCAATCTAATTAGTCTTATGGGAATCATGCTAAATTCATTGTCTATTTCCCTCCTCATAAACTATATGATACTTCACCCTGCACTGTCAATGGCAGCTGTCAACTGCATCTTTAGGGACAACAAAAACGGACTCAGTGCCGTTCCAAGGAGCAGTGGGAACTGGTCTCTTGTTCCACCAGAGGTGGGGCAAGTGGGATAGCCCTCTGTGTGGGAAAACTCTTCCAAGACTGGAGGATTTTTGCTGAAGAATGGGTGAATTTGGTCGAGAGCAGCAAACGTTTGCATCCTGTCACAGCAGCTAAGGCCATGATTCAGTGGCTGACTTCAAATTCTTTCAAGGCAAGACCAAGGAATGGGGGTTTGCAGTCACGGGGTCTCCATGTAGAGTGGTCCCAACAGTTTCTGTTCCTGAGGAGGGGATTCAGTAACTGAACTCCAGCTTAGAAAACTGATTTCTCAGTCCTGCCTGGGGAGAGAAAGCATTGGCCTTAGTGTTGCTGTGGTATTCTTGTGGGGTTGGAGTTACCTTGGGGTGCTCTTTGCATTGCAGTTATTCTTCAGACACTCAAGATATGTTACTTTCATATACTTTGTTTTGATTTAATTCCTGTGAAGTGTTTGTGTTGATGAATAATTAGAACCAGAATTGGTATGACATCCTTTTGAATAAGCAGTTATTTTGTTAAGATATTTTTTTTCTCCTAAAATCCATTCATATTCCAAGGTACTGAAAGGCAAAGTATTTTAATGGTGTTTTTGCAGAATATTTTCCTGAATGGATTGAGGAAACAGTCATTCCATTTAGCACTATATAAAAAAGTGAAGGCAGTGCAATGAGCTTAGTTTTCTATTTTTGTCTGTCATAGATGTAAATAATTCAAACATACAAGAATGGAAAGAAGTTAACAGTTCGAAACTGGGACTGCATGACTCTCATAGGATAATATTAGTATTTCCTGTATGTTTCAATTTGACATTCTTAAGAAAAAGGTCGGTTTTCCTGAAATATAGTGCTGTTAATGCTGTTTTTCCCTGGGCTCCTGTGGTAAACTAGAATATTCATGTATTTCATGTGTATGCTTATGTAATTAAGCATCCACTAATTTCTTTCTCTTTGGAAAATACTTCTCCAAATCAGCACTCCACATAAAAAGATTTAAGATTATATCATCTGTTTGTTTAAGGTAAGCATTAGGACAGGTATTATTATTTTATAATAGATTCTTAATCCCTTGTCTGTGAAGTGTTGATGTTTTCATTAGAGTTAAAATATGTTGCATGTGTACAGAAAGCCTAAAATCTCAATATGTGGTCCTATCAATTTTAATTATTTGAATCATTAGAACAGCTAATTTTTTGCTTAAGGGTACACCAATGTACCATTGAATCTGTTTTTTAAGGTTTTTTCCAGTTTAATGTCTGAATCCAAATTCATAAAGAGTTGGAAAAATGAGATGTCTGAGCTATAGGATTCACAGGGATTTTATATGAAGCCTATTTAATCAGGATAACACTGTTATTAATATTCATAAAGTCAGCTGGAACACAAATGACAGACTATGGAGCCTAAAATTTTTTACTTGTGAATTTATTAAAAGCAGCTTAAAAAATTAATGGAATTTAAGTAAAGTTGACGAAAATGAAAATCTTATGTTAGCAGAAAAAAATCTATATTAGAACTTTGTCTGAGACCATCTTGCATTGATATCTTTGACAGATTTCATTGGTACTTAAAGAAGAAAGATGCATGAATGGTCATTTAAAAGGATTTAAACACATTGGCACATTAATTTTTACATGAATAATAAGTAGTTTCCAAAAGCAATTAACTTACAGTGTACAAGATTTGAATAGAAAAATAGGACTGTGACATCAAAGGGCAAAGCAAATGTGCAGTACATTTTAAACTTTTAATAATACGACTTCTTAAAATAATTTTTTTCTTTTCCAGAATAAGTAAAGTAACACACAAGGTATTTTGTACAGCTTGGGTTTGTTTTGAAATACACCAGGATCTGGAATAAATAATTTTTTTATGCCAAAGTGCTACTGATAAAGAACAATTTTAAGGCTTTTAAATTGACCAGGTGCTTCTGAATCAAGCTTTCCTACCATTTGTGTGGAAAAACAGGTAGATAGTGACCACAATGTGTAATTTTTCTCCCATGCTGCTATATGCAGCACTGGGAAGCATTACTTATCTTTGTAGGTGGCAAAACAGTTAGGTCTGAGAGTTCTTTTATTATTGTACTTAACTATTAATTTTATGTGACTGTTGCATTTTATATTCAACCAATAGGGACATTTTCTTTTTCATTTTCACTTTCTTTCATGATGTCCTAGTAGTTTTACACTAGGACTAGTTGGATGAATAAATAGCAAATAAGAAAATTAGATTTAAAATTACCTCTAGCATTTGGGTTATAGTTTTATTTTTTATATTCAGTTTTGTCTCGGTCTGCCAGTACACTTTATTTTAATCTCCAGCTTTATTTTCCTGTCATTATTACACAGATTGATTATTAACAGATTGTCTTCAAATGAAAGTATTCGATTTTTCTGATGATTCCTTGTGTGAAAACCTTAATGGCCACTTCTGATCATTTTTGAAATGGTGACTTTTAACACTCACTGAATAATGATGGTTCAGTAAGTTTTGGTTCTAAAAATACCTTATGTTCAAGGTACCTTCTGTAAAGGTACATCTTGAACAGCAAGTAAGTATCATGCACAGTCAGCTACCTATTGCAGCGTTTGTGCTTAGAGTAACTAGTTTAAATACTTGGTGTCACGAATATTTTGTTCTTATGTATCCTAACATTTTTTTCAGATTATGGGGAAATTGATTGGTACACCCTAGGGAGCCCCAATAATCTTTCCATTTTACTTTGATCGATAGGTGACCTTAATCTGATATCAAGAATTTTTAATTTTATTTTCTTTATGTTTAAACCAGAAAATTCCTATTAGTTAGCAGAACCTATTTCACCTGTGAATACAAAACCTGTAAAATGAGCCCCTTGACTGCAGTCATGAATTTTTCCTGTGCCATAGTCTTTTATTTCCGGGAGAGGGCAGCATTTTCCTATATCAGCTACAGAAAGGCACATGCCCTGCTTAGACTGTCAATGTTTCTTGTAATTACTCCCAGTATATTTGTTGCTTGCTTATGAATTAACTTGCATTTATGGAACTAAATCATTCCAATCATTTAATTACACCTGAGGAGCTGAACTATAATTGCTTGCTTCCAGCTAGGATCTGATATGGCTTGAGCAGTATTAATTTGGTGTTTACTTTTCTGAGTGCTAAAAGCATTAAAATGATTGTGCAATGGGATTACATTTTACTAATTGCTGGCATTCATTAGCTGGGTAAATGGCGAGGAAGAATGACTGTATATTGTGGAGGGATAAAATTATGGTTTTAAATAGTATATTACTAGACACATTAAGGCCCTAAGACGTGTTTTAAAATACTCCAGAGGTTATTAAATACCATATTTTCTTCATGTCGTGCTATATGAATATCTTATTAAAATACTGCAATTATTATGAACCTTTTTGTGCAATATGTAGGGAAATGGCTTCATTGACAGAAACCTATTTCTTGATATTAATAACCCTCTACATTTTCAGCTAATCCAAAAGTAAATGAGGAACTTAGGAAAAGATTGCCAACTTCAAATCAACACAGTTACACAGAATTGAAGAAGAAGCATACAGCTTCATTTGAAGGGTTCTTTTCAGGGACTCAGTGTTCTGCGATATGAGGTGAACTTTTTCTTTTTAGTTAAGACCTAAGCACATCAAATCCTATGCATTTTTTTAATCATGCAGATTTATAGTCAACAATAAATATGAGCTAAATATGCATTTCTTGAATGTTTTGTGTACGTGTTAGTGTTAAATCTTAAGTGTTTGTACAATTAATTATTTTATAATTTTAAATATAAAAATGAAATAATCTGCTTTTTTGGTGGTTTACGGGAAAATAATTTCTTCTGTTGCTTTATTATTTAGGATATGTGTCTTGGTATAATTTGTTTGAATTTTAAAATATGTACTTAATTTTTTTATATCTTTTCTATTTTTCAGCACAATAACTCCCTGAGTGTTGTCATAATCTAGCCACTGTATCTTCAAGGCACACACATCTTTTTAATAAATGTAAAAAAAATATAGCAGGGAAAACATACAAAATAAGCACAACTGCATAGTTAAGGATAAAACTTGTCCTATGTACAATACTTTTTAAAAAGGTGCTTGAATAAGTAATGCAATTTGTGGTAAGCTTACTGTGTTACCCAGATTACAAACTTATTTAGATTTCCTTGCGATACAGAGTATAATTGACTTTTTAACACATAAGAGAGCCTATATTTTAATAACCAAAATGATGCCTGATATGCATAATGGTTTACTGTAGGTCTTCTTGAGGGTTACTTCTTGAAGATCTTTGATTATATGAAATATTATAACTGTGTAATTAACTATATTCTGAAGTAATATGCATGTAGATATTAGGATGCATTATTTTGCTGTTTAGAAAGACCTGTAAATTCAGAGTAGGAGTGATCTTGAGCCATGTCACCTCTATTTTATCTAGGAAATTAAAGCAAGAGAAAGAATGCTATAAAGTGAAGCACATGCCACCATCTGTAATAACTGCCAAAGTGAGCAGTCTTGTTGACTGTAGCAGGACTGCTTGGTGTGATTTGGGCTGTGCTCAGTAATGTGTACTTCCAAGACCAGACTCTAGAAGAAAAAAACAAACTAATAAATAATTCAACAAAGACATCACATGCAACAAAAAACTGAACCAAACAATTATAAAAATTAGATGAGTGAAGAAAAAATATTTTACTGAGAAATACAATTTTTCACTGTCTGGTAAAGGATGCAGACTTCATTGTGCTGTCATAAAAATTTAAAATCATTTGTTTTGTAAATTTTCCGTTAAATGAAGGCAAAGTATTGGTGCATTATATTGTTTCAAGTTTATTTTAACTAGAGTTTGTTTTATTTTAGCTCTGAAACCTTCATGCAAAAACTGGACTCAGTGCCAGATCAAACAAGTTCAGAAGAACAAATGGAGAACTGGTCAAAAGGTAGGGACTTTAAAGATATTAATAAGGAACCTCAGGTGTTATACCAGTGCTAGGCAGTGACTGGAGTGTGTTTGTTCTTGCTGATATATGACTGACTTTGGAAGAAAAGAAAAAAAAGCCACAACCACATACTGCCCCTTAAAAGTACTTGGAGTAACAGGAGAGCAGCTACATTAATATAAAGCTTCACCTTTATTTTCTGGATTATTGAAAATGTTTTTGTATAGCTTTCAGAAGACTTGTTTAAATTCTGTACATTGCACTTTACTTTCCAACCTTTTTTTTAATTGTTAACAATAAATCTGAAAGTCTGTTCTTAAAGTAATTTTCTTGGCTATTCACTCTTGGCTTGGGTGTGATTAAGCCAATTACTAATATTAATGAGTTTCTCATTAGTAGCTCAGCTGAAAGTAAGGTAAGGCTTGGAGGTAAAGGTGACCTTGGTTAACTTGGAGCTTCCCCAGTTGATGGAGTTCCGTCTTCGTCAGGATGCAAGTGTGTTTTTGCATTTTTAGTTGGTTGACCAGACACAATTGTTCTCAGATATATTCTTCTATATTTCATGACAGAAACCGGAGGGAAAAAAAAAGAACGACTGAATTTGAGAGTTCATTACATGAGTGACTGACTTTGTAGAAGAAGTGACATGGAGAAGGAAGAAAAGGAAAGACATAAAAAAGAGACCCTCACTTTAGGGTGGATTTTTACTAGTATGTGACTTATGTGTAGGTTAAAAAATACAAAATTGAATAGATGTGTCAACATCAAAATTTCCCTCTGTATCAGAGCCTCATAGCTTCTTGTTACATTTCCTTTTTTTGAGTTCTATACTATTTATTCTCTCTCAAAAGATAATAAATGTCAAGTTTCTAATGGAGAGTCTTTTTAGAAGGAAGAAGAAATGCTTCGTTTTTTACATGATGCTTTTCTTTCACATGTAAAGGAATTTCTACCTATATTATTCTGTAAAATAAACTAGTCATTTTTAATTTATAGAATTTTGAGCTGTTACTGAGTGAAGTTCAAAAGTTTTTGAATCATATACTCTGTAAACAAAAATAGTAGTAATGGTGGTGTAAGTTAGTGGAGAATTGTATTTTGATAATTTAAATGTGTAATGGCTTAATCAGGCTTAGTATTTTTAGACCTTTAGGGGTCAGCATACCCTAAGAATGGTTCAAAAGGTTAAGTTTTCCAAAGTAAGCAAATGAAACTGATTCTCTGTGAAGTATTTTCTGTCTAATTGCAAGAAATTATGTTCTGCTGCTACTCAGAGATATTTTCAAAACTGAGTAGTTACTGAGTTTAGTGTGTATTATTTTTCTGATGCATTAAGTTAATATTTTATGCTGTTTAGACAGCTGTTTCTTCCAAGCTAATACTTACAGATTCATGTATCCAATAGAAGTTGTTCTATAAACAAAAGTAAAATTTATACACTTTTCTTGAGCATAATCATTAATAAGTCATGTATTTCTTTGTGCTTTTGCTCCTAGGAAATTTAGAAAAAGGGATTGTGGGTAAATCTGTCATCATACTCATGTGGATGAGGAATTTTTTTTTTCTTAGAATTTAATTTGGGTATTAACAGCTAAATTACATTCACTTGTCATAAAGATAATAGGTCAATTTCAGCAACATAATGTTCAGTATGTGCCCTTGGTGCTATTCTGGTGCATTTTCTCATTGGATTAGTTAATCACAGAAACTTTTCATTTTCTGTGTAAATGTGTGTGTTGAGGAGTATACATTTTGTGTCCTGCTTGCTGTCATCTTCGTGTCTTTCTTTATGCAGTTGGTACTGTGCTGTATTTAGATGTTTCTTTCTTGTAACTTGGAAGTTTAAAAGCTGGGTTTGGAATAAGCCTATAATGATTTATTCAAAAAGAGTATATTGAAATATTGGAGATTATTTATCAATAAATAAGGATGGTAAAGCAAATATAAGATTAAATTTATCTGACTAGATGAAAATTTAGTCAAGTAATGAAAATTTTAAAAAACAGAAAAAACAGATACAGAGAAGTAGGTTTATGGCGGTTCTGTGGTATAATGTGTAACCTGTTAATAGATGTTATAAAATAAAATACTTGAAAGAAAGGTAGTGTTTCAGAGGAATGTATCTGAAGTGTTTGAGGTTTTCTTTTTAACTTTCTGTGTTGTTTGGAGTATGGTATCCCTGTGTGGATTGAAGACTTTGTTCCGTTCTATTAGGAAGAATTAAAAGAACAGTTTGTGTGCAAGGCTTGTTATTTTGTGTTTGTATCTAGTTTAAATGTACTCTTTCTCTTGTTTTTAATAGAAGGTTGATGCCTTTTTTCATTTCCCTCTAAGGATACTTGAGAAAATGTACCAGGAACATTGGCAGCAGACCAGTGAGAACTGTGCCGCTTAGAAATGAAAAATATTCAGGATCCAATCTAGAAAGCCTAGAATCGTATTCAATTAAAAAAATAAACTTTGCAAATAGGTGTATATCTTTGCATTGCAGTGATGGTGGATGTGGGGAAGCACATTGCATTTGGGTAGAGTTGTTATTTCAGAAGGGTTTCCATGCATGATGGGAACTATGAAAACATTAATACTATGAAAACACAAGAAGGAACCTGAAATTGGGTGGTTTATCTTATATATACATTTAGGACTTGAGATGGCAGTTTTTCAGAAGCATTACCAGGATAGGAGTCTTATTTCACTCATGTACCATGTTTGAATAGGTGCAGCTATACTTCTGTATTATATAGTCCTTAACTATTGTAGTGTTTTTGCTTACGTCATATTTATGAACGTCCATGCTTTAAGGACAGGGCAGAAATTAGTAGAAGTCTTTGAATTTGAAGTACTGTTGGGTCTGTTTTGACAACAAAATTAGAATTTTGCTGATTCCAGAATTAAAAGCATTGTATGATTTTTATTCGTAAATTGCTAAGACAAGCTAATAGATAGATTATTTTTAATGGAAAAGTTGTTTGCTTTCTTAAAAGGGGGCTATTATGTTTCTCAACCATAGAAATAAATATATATATATACTGCGAAGCCATTACTTGAAGTATATATTGAAATATAAGTCAGTGAACCAATCTCATTTCTGAGAATTTGATGGCAACTTTAGTTATGATCCATATACACACTTTCCATGTAACTTCAAAAGAATGTTTGCAGCTTGTAAATACACTTTAAAGTTGTGTGTCTGGAAACTAGTTCAGAGGAGACTAGCTTTAAAGAGATGTGATAATGTAGATTGGAACAGATGCAGAATCAGCTTTTGCTGGGAAATTTGTAGTGGAGGTATTTTATCTGCTGGTGAGCTGTGGGTTTTTGGGGTGTTTTACATTCACAGTAATTGAGGAAATGTAGTCATATGCAAAGGTTAACGAATCATCTTTTTGTGTAACTTTGACTATCTTACTAGAAGTAGAAGACTCTTCTTGTTATGTAATGGTTTTAATGTTCTTTTTTGTGGATTTGTCTTTGCAATAGTAATTACAAGGATTTTTTTGTCTGGAATTTCTATTGTGTGAGTTTGGCACACACAAAGATGAATGGGTAAAGAAAGCCTTGAGACTAATATGGCACTGTAAAGGTTTTTCATCTAATGCTCTATTTGGGTAAAGAAGCAGCAAATGGTAAAAGTGCTGCTGCCCATTTCTTCAGAATATACCCACTACAGCTGTAAACACTCTAAAGGTAAATCTAAAGCCTCTCTTTCAAGGCTGTAGCAGAGGCAGAACTAAGCATACTTACAGTGAAGTCTCTTTCTTCTTTTACATGTCTCAACAGGAGATACTGTGAGCCTTTTCTCCCCTTCCTACCATCTTTTAGCAACAAAGTGCCTTTTACTTGGAAAACAGAGAAGGCTTGGATATTGCAAGGGTGGTCTGTATGCAGAAAAATTTACGTGATATGCAGAGAGGCACCGTTCTCTACACCCATGTGACTCAGCTGATCTGTGTCTTCAATGTGTGCTGTGCTTTCAACATCAAACTCATTGTGTGCTGTCAGAGATCCCCTTGCCAAGTGTTGCAGATCATCTCTGAATGATGTAAAAGGCTCAAAAGAGGCTGAGAGGATGAACTTCCATGAGTAATACCTAGGAAAAGTGGCTAGTAACTCTTGAGCAACACTAAGAGTGGAAGAAGGAAACCTCTTCCATGGAAGAAGAAGGAATAGTGTGACATAACTTAGAAGAAAAAGATGAGCTAATGATAGCTGAAAAATCATCCAATACTGCTTGTTTCTTCCTATAATATAATAATCCCTTCATACGTATGAATTCTCGTCTCTTCTTTTTCTATTCCATTTCTTTCCTTGTACATTTTGAGTGGTAGAATACAGCACATTTGTAGCCAGACTGCATGCAGAAAGACTTTTCATCAGAAGCACAACTAGATACCCAGTATCTGGCTGACTCACTGCAGTGTTGTGAATATGGTTTCCGTGGACCCTTTATGGTACGTGTAGGGCCTTATCTGCACTGAGGGCTGCAAGCACTAAGGATGGGGAGAATGCATGCCTTGAAGTATTGCACTTTGAATCTTAAGTGTGTAAAGTATGAGTGCAGTTAACTTCAGAATGTCTTGAAATGCACTTCAGAGAGAACAGCACTTGCTGCCACAGTAATTTTTAAGTACTGCTTCAGAAGGAGTTTTAGAAGACCTTGCACAAGTGCAAGAGGAATTTGGTTATTTTCTTCTTTAGAAACCTTCATTACTTCTATTTTTATAACAGCTTGAATGTGGCTTAAGTTTAGAGAAAAAATATTTTAAAATTATTACAAAAAGGTACTTCAGGGAGTGCGTTGCCAACTCTTATTTGTAAGTTCAACTGCATCTTTAGTAGAACACCACTGGAGTAAAGGGTGCAGGGGCAAGGTTTCTTATGGCTACTTTATGCAGAGTGATCTTTCTTTTATATTGAACACTTAAAATTGCAATATTTTTCTATACTTTTAAGGCAGTAGTTTCCTGGGATTTTGTTTAGAACTCTTCATTCAGCAAAGC